GCTCGATTTTATACACTATGCGTAGCAGGCCGTAAAATGATTGATATCGAAAAGGGGTATTTGTGTTGCTAGAGGGTGTATGCAGTGTTGGTCTATCTAAAGTAGAGTTCTTTAATTAATAAATGAATTCGGGTATGTTCATATTTCGCATTTAATTAATTTACAGAACTTAAATTAGGCATATTTTATATTGTTTCGGATGCTTTTACCTATTGTATACAATATATACAAATATTTATTTCAATGAATATAAATTTCAGTCCTCACAAATTGAGTGAGTTTTGGCCCCAATTTTTGTATGTATAAAAATATGCTGTTAAAGTACTATATCTGATTGCACCGCTTCTACACTTAATAACCCAAATAAATAATAATAAATAAAAAGAAATAAATGAAAGAATATAATTGTACTTGCATACTTTTGGGAGATGAGAAAATAGCATTAAAAGATGTCAAGATTACCCGGTTTATTTGGAAGTTTGCAAAATATTATTAACAAATGAAAATATAAATTACGAAATAGTTATAGCAAGAATAAAACTTTATAAAGTTTACATTGTAGTAGATGTAACGTTGTAATATGTATATTGTACATAAATGTTTATAGAATTCTTCTATGAGGCTCTATGGCGCGACATTCAACTAAATAGAGCTATGAAGAAGGAATAAAAGTGACTGAGCAAAGCTGTAAAATTAATTTTTTGGATTCCTTAAATCATAAAACTTAGCTACAAAATCGTAAGGGGACAACGGCAACAAAGGCTGAAATTATTATTATATTTTATGGAATCAAAAAAATTTGACCATTAAAGAATAAAATAAGGAATCACAAGTCTAGATTTAAGAGTCTTAAGTTGGGTTTGCAAAAAACTGTATTGAACTGAATTAAAAGTTCAATAATGTTAAGAAATGTTGCATTAATAGTTGAAAAATAGAATATTATACATTTTTATTTATTATTTATTCTTAAAACTGTCTAATAATCTTCAAATTACACAAATTCGAGGCAATAAAATGTCGTAGAGAAACTTATCAAATCTATTTTCATCTCTTTTCGTCGCAATTATTTAAAATATTTATGAATTTATCCTTTATATTCTGTATACGTAATAAAATAAATGTAAGTTAGGGGTGTTAGAGAGTACTTTTTAGTCGATCAATTGCAACGAACTGAAACTGCAACAACATTCTAACACACATGCGCTCTTTTATTATAGTATGTACTTTTATGCCTATACAAATTCAAGATACATATATTTTTATGTAAGCGTACTTCTGTCAGTATATGTTTGTATATATGCTCAAGTGTATGTGTATGTGTGGCTGTATAGATTGGTTTGCCTAGTACATTAGCGCAAGTTGCTGCTGCTGCTGTTGTTGTTGACGTGCGATGCCAACTCGGTCGTTTGCCATTAGTCAGCTGGGTCAACTTGATGAACTTTGATCGTTGATTGATCGCCGCATGCACTCGAGCTGCAGTCAGCGGCAGCGATCATGATCATAACAACATTAACAGCAACAACAACAGCGAACTGAAGGCAAATTGCATTTGCTGTTGATTTGATGCTGGTCCAGTTCGACAAATGCCTGAACACCTCGAGACGAGAATATTGATTTTAATTACTCAGACTGCATATTTTGTCCCATTCAACGTTGCGTGAAGCAGATGTTCTACTCGGCGAAGGCTTTCTAGTGCGAGAGCGAGAGTCAGAGAGAGCGAGTGTGTGTGAGAAAGAGAAAGAGGGAGAGAAGTGCGAGAGAGAAAGAGAGGGAGGAATACAGAAAGAGAGAGGCTTCCTACTAAAAATCAATCAACAGGCCACAAATGAATGCGTTCGCCTTCTGGGTCACACACAATGCATTCTTCCAGTGCTCCAGCTCTTGCTCCTCCTTCTGCTGATGTCTCGCTCGCCTCTATCGCTAGCTTCCGTTCTTCGAGTAGCTGCTGCTCGCATTTCGAAATCCGAAACGCCTCGTATACTTTTTGGACACACCGTGTTGCTCGCAACATGGGGCAACTGTCTGGCGGCCCGCAGCACTCGGCAATTGTTTTAGATTTTGTTTTAATGGTTTTGCCAATAAATAAAATCATTCATAGAAATTGCCAGTAATATATTACATGGCCGCAACTCAATAAAAATATAAAAGTAAAATCTTTATTCGACTCGAGCCTTGTTCTTCTTCAAATGCTATGTATATAGAGCTTGGCAGCTGTGTAATATAATGTATGCTAATAAATATTACCTCATAGAACAAATTTCGATAACCATAAATGTGGCCCATGGTACTCAAATTATAATAGTGTAGTGGGATCAGAATATACTAAATCAAGTTTCAAATCGAATCTTATTTTGAGCAATAAATAAGAAATATATAAGTAATATATATATATTTATAAATTCCAAAAAACAATGAGGCTTTTGTTTAGTCCATATTAAATATCTTTCAGAATGAACTGTTATTCAAGAGATTTGAGTCTTCTGATTATAAGAAAATATCCAATAAATATCAAGAGTATAAATCAACAAGCTGAAGCTGATTTCAATGCAATTCATATCCAGGACTATCATAACATTATAGACTAGGGAACTACAGCTTATTAAATCTTAAGTTTTACAGGATAGGAAAAACAATTATTATTTATATGTCTATTGTTTAGTGAAACGCCCTAAGGGGCTGGTAAGCTGCCTGAATGAATTTTCGACACATACATGGACCATGGCTGAGAGTCGAGTAACCTTTAGGCGGCGCCTACTTCAACTCAGGCTATAGGTAAAAAGGACAGAAGCACAACACGCATTAAGCGCTTACTCCTACGCGAGGCATTTCCATTTTATTTACGAGTCGAGTCGAGCTGATGCCACATATGTCAGGAAAAAACGGTGTTTGGCAAGCAACATGAGGTCCTTTATCAGGACCCTCGCTGTGATTCGCAGCGCATAGCACATGCCATTAACTGCCATGTGCCACAGCGATCGTCCTTAACAGCCATGTGAATTTTTAGCATGCAAAAAACAATAGGAAAATTACAAGGACCGAAATCAACTTGAAAATGGCTGCGCAAGGACATGAATATGTCTGTGTAGTAGCGTATAGTGTAGATAGCCGCTCAGTTCTAATTTTAGTTACACAATTTATGCGAGCGTTATTTGAGAAGATTCTCAAATGCTTTTTAGTAACCCAAACACCGGTAGACATTGCTATTGGGGGCGTTGACACTTCGGGGTTGGGGCATTCGGCATTCCCACATAAAGGTGGTTTCGTTCGCTCCGTGAAATGGTGTATATACTTATATGTATATGTACTCAAAATATCCCTGCGTTTCAGGGAAACTCTAGCTCTCAATTGCATTGAGTGGAACTGAAAATGTTTTCTTATGCAGGAGAAAAACGGGTTTTCGGTTTCCAATGTCAAGGAAAATATTGTATATATAGTAGCATACTAAATTGGAAACGTAAACAGATATGTGTTCAATTACTTTAAGTTTGTACTTAATTAATATTAATATTACTTTATACATTTATAATATTCAGGATTTATTATTTATTTATTTAGTTAACTTTTAGTTTGCAATTAAATGATTTTACATTTAAAACGAAATGTACATTTTATGAATAGTAAAAAAACTCAGAATTTGTTCCTCAAATAAAGCACAGCTTCTAATAAAGTTAGAGATTTCTCTTGAAATAAATATAAAAAATCTTTTTTTCAAGCCTTCTATTCACTTTCTATTTCCTTCTATTCACTTTAAAATACGCTTCTTCTCCTATTATACGTAAGAAAAGAATTAAAAAAAAAAATGTATATAACAACGACTTCAACAGCATATTACAATCAGGTCAGAAGGAGCTCCTTTGCACAGATCGAGTGGGCAATACCTATCCTTCTCTCTCTTGATCTGGGTCGCTCTCCACCATTCACTTTGGCATTCGGATTCAGCTATTCAAAGACTCGCAAGTACCTCTGTATACATATTTTCAGAGATTTACCCCACTTACGGACAGACTGTGTGTGTATGTGTGTCTACAACAACCTGTCAACGTGGTTGACTGGATATTTGTCTCTCTACATATGGGCAAGGGAATAGGAACACCGTAGCGCACAGTAGTTTGTATATAATTCGAAACATTCATGCCAGGCTGTCATTTAAAAAGCAATTAAGCGTAACAACTAAAAATGATATTTGGTTCGCCTTTGAAGCGCTCCACACAGACTAAATCAACTGACTGAGCTAATTATGTGAATTTTAAATAGCCATTTTTGGCGACATAAATACTTTTGTGTACACATTGTAAACAGTTTTATGCGCAGCCCGTAGAAACTCCAAGCAAAATAAAATGCGAGAAAAAAAAAAAAACAAAAAAAAAGAATAAATAAATAAAACGAAAAAGAAATGAAAGAAAAATAAAAATGAGTATTAAACAAATGAACATAAATCACCGGATGTGGATGGTGTTCCCATTGCCAAGCCCTCGGCTGACGTCGTCTCCGGTTGCCATTTTCTTTCTCAACAGAATTTAGCTTTAAACGCTTCTTTCCCATGAGCAAATAAGGGCGAGACAGAGAGCGAGAGAAAGAGACACAGACAGACAGAGAGAGAGAGAGAGAGAGAGAGAGAGAGAGAGAGAGAGAGAGAGAGAGAGAGAGTGGAACAAATCTTCGGCTTTGTATCTTTGAGATACATAAACGTGGCTGCCTCCCCTGAATCGTTTGTGGTATGACGTTACGCTCTAAGTATGTCGTCGTCGCTGTTATAGATCGCATATATATATATATATATATATATATATATATATATACATATATATATATGCGTATAAATGTATGAATGTGAACTTCTGTTCAGATATTGCACTATAAAGTGGGCCCCCCGAACGGCGACATTTTCGCGCCTAATTTAATGGGGATGGGGGATATACAACAACAAAGGCAACAACAACGGGATGGAAGAAACAACCTCAAGAAGTTAATAAACAAAATGGCGACGATGGCGAGTTGCTGTTTTTCGTTTGCTTGAATTATTTTTTCTTTTAATTTATACATTTTAAATTAGTTAGCACTAGACATACAATTAAACCTAAGCAATAGTTGGCTTACATACTTTTATTTCTTCTGTATTTTTTTTGTAATTTAAATAATGTTTAGCTTAGTCATCTATAAGATATGGAAAGAGCTGCAAGTGCTCGCTGTCACTCGCATTGGAATTATTCACGCTGTGTGCATTACGGTTCAATAACTGGAAGCCCCAATGGCAATTGGCACTAGTTCTTCTGCGCCCACTCCTGCGCCTAGACCTTCTGGTGCTGCGCGTCGCCCTCCATGCGCCAGACACCAAATAGATAGCTCAATTTCTCGGGCGGAATAATCGGTGCTCCGTTTGCCTTGCGCAGGCACTTGAGATCAGCCTCCGCGCCATTGGCGGCACTTAGTAGGGTGTTGGCATTCCCATAGCCAGGTGACAACGGCGACGACTGCGCCTCCAGCGCCTTTAGCAGTGAGATGTCGCTCGAGCTGAGCATGCGGCAGAGGAAGTCGATATATCTGCAAGGATAAGAGATGCGAAAATTTCGATTAGACATGGAAAATCCTTTAAGAGCTCTGAGACGGCTTTTGCAAATAACGAAATAACTAATTGGGCTGAATGAAAAAATGTTAAGATCTTTTGCAATTTATCGTACTTTTGAGAATATTTTTGAAGTATAGAAAAAAACGTATTTTGAATTTAAAGAATTTAAATAAATATTAAATAATATTATAGATATTTTCTACTAAAATGATGGAAATTTAAGAGGAAAAAAATCTAAATTTCCTTGAAAATTCGCAAATGGTTATATTTAATAATTAGCAGTTCTTTAAATATTTCAACAGAACTCAATTTAAATTTTTGTTAGTCTTCCTGTATTTTTCGTAGTTTATTTGAAGTTTTTACTTTACTTTTTAATTTGAGTTTTCCCTTGAGCTGAGGTTATTAATACTCTTCGGTTTATTGGAATTTTCGGGATTGCGTAAACTTTCCAGCTCAGGTATGATCCGCCAAATTGTCTAGAACTGGGTTAAGCCCAGGCTGGAATTGCCCGGCTGAAACGATTACGGACTTACCTTGTGGCCAGCTTGAGCGTCTGTATTTTGCTCAGCTTGTCGCTCGGCAGAGTGGGTATGATCTGCTGCAGGGCCTTGAAGGCGTCGTTGAGGCTCTGGGTGCGCTGGCGCTCCCGCACATTGGCCATGACCCTCTGGTTGCTGAACTCGTCCGTCTCCTCCGACTTGCTGGGCTTGCGTTTGAGCCGACGGCGGGGCTTCCGAAACGCCTTTCCGGTCACATCGCCGGCATCCAGCAGACTGCTCTCGTCCCCCAGGCAGGTGGGCGACATGTCCTCGAGCTCATCCTCCTTGGCATAGCCGCCCACTGAGCTGAGCGCTGTCTGGCGGGCATATTCCATATCGTCGCGATCGGAACTCGAGTAGGTGCTACCATTCAGACTGTTGGCCGGCTCATAGCCTTCGTAATTCGAACTAAAGGGGATACATTTCAATATTCAATATTCATTATTGGTAGAAATTGAAATCTTTAAACTTAGTTTATTCTAAAATTTGTGGAGTTAGTCGCTTACAAATTTTTCTGACTCTTCTAAGCCAACTTAAAGTATCGAAATTTCATTTTCAGACTTTCATGGGTTCGTTGTGCACTGTTTTTCATTTTCTATTTTAATTTTTAGTCTTGTATAGTTTCTATTTATTCTATTATTTGAACAAACAAAACAAATATATTTCTCCATGAAAGACAATGACTTGATACATATGTTCTATTATTCAAAATGATCCAAAAGGAGGAGCATTGAAATATGTACGTGATATACATGTATCTCGTAATTCGTATTAAATTTTCATTTGTGATCCAAGAAATGTTTTTATTCGAAGTGCATATTCGAGGTGGCTTACATATTTCTATATAAAAATGCCTTTCCGTTTTCAAATAAAATAAATATTTTAAAAGAGCAAAGGCTTTTACTATTCAGTTACTACTGTTCGTATCACCACAGTTAACGGTATATCTACTAGAAATTGTTGGAGCAAATGGGCTCTAGAGAGATGCTCCTCCATTTAAATTTAAAGGATTTACGTACCCGGCTCTATAGTTGCTTTGAAAGTGAAGCTGTTGTTGTTGTTGTGGGTGTTGATGTTGTTGCTGCTGCTGCTGTTGTTGTTGTTGTTGTTGCTGATTTATTGTTTGGGGATATCCGCCATATTTGAAGATGTGCGGCTTCTGATCCTGCAGCTCCTCGTCGGCAAAATCGAAATGCGAGTGTGAATGAGAGTGCGGCGAGACGCAAGAGGTTTGTTGGCTGGGCGCCTGCGCCTGCGTCTGAGCTGCGGCCACCTCGTCCACAGTGGTTGGCAAATAGTCCACGTATAATTGTTGTTGCTGTTGTTGTTGTTGCTGCTGCTGTTGCAACAATTTCTTATGCTCGGGCTGCATGGACAGGGCATCCGTTTGGCAGTCGTAATCGCTGCTGCTGCGCGACCGCTTGCCGTGCTCGTTGAGCAAGTAGCCATGAGGAGGTGCGGTCGCCACGCCTCCTGCAGCCTCTGCTGCTGTGGCTGAGGCCTGTTGCTGGTGGTCAAAGCCATTTTGATTGTTGTTCAGCTCCAGGCTGCTTTGAGCGCTCTGATTGCTGTTGGTACTGAGCACCTCGTTGCTTGGAATATTATAATCCGTATCCTCTAGTTCAGTTATGCCATAGGCCGCGTAGTCCGCAGCATTAGGCGCCAGCGAAGGCAACGGAGCATATTGTTGCTGCTGCTGTTGTTGCTGTGGCTGTTGCTGTTGCTGTTGGGGTTGGTGAAGGTGCTGGTGATGGTGCTGGTGTTGCATGTAGTGGGCCGTGGGCTGGTCCATTAGCTGCATGTAGGCATGCTGCTCCACCTGGATGAGCTTGATGACATTATGTTGCAGCTCCATGATGTTGGGCAACGTTGGCTTGTAGCTAATGTCTAGCAGCACCTTCGGCGACACCGGGCGTGCGCTCATTGTTTGATTGGCAATTTTGAAACCAATTGATTTTCCCTTTGCACTCGACAATGAATGTATATATATTGAATATGTATTTTGCACTATTTGTCCGTCTTGTTAGCTTGACTGAATCGCACCCCCGATCCGTTAACTTAGCTTGGTGTGCGCGCAGCGGCAAAGACGAAACGCAACTGACGCACGATCCTGCCGGCCATTGCTCAGATCGATGTTTTGCGCTTTGCTCGTTCGCTATTCGCCATTCGCTGCTGCTCGTCTCGCTGCGTAGCATACTAGTTGTCTCACTCTCGCACATGGAACGGCCGCTTGACGCGAACTCGAGCCTATGGTGGCCGCGTCGCAGGTATGACGTCAACTTAATTCGCCTCTGCATTTCGCTCTTGGATTTTCTCGATTGCGGCGGCTGCAATTCCGTTCTTTGGGTTTTGTCAACCGACTGGAGAGACCAAGCGACCGATAGAAAGAGAGGGACGGAGGGAGAGGAAGAAGGAGCGACGAAAAAATAGGAGTGATGAAGAGCAGATTGGGTTTTATTGGGTTTATTTTGTTGTGTTAATTTCTCGTATCCAGTTAATCTGAAAAAAGTAATATAATATTTAAGTATATTATTGATTGTTTGTTATAGTGCTCTTGTTATACTGTTCCTTTTTTACAGAAGGCTGATATATATGTACTTATTAAATAATTAATTGATAATTAATATTAAAAATTACTATTTTCAAAAGTCCAAATTATTTATAAGCAATTGGCAAAGAGCGACGACATCTGAAAATTGAAAAGCATTTAGAAAATTTGTAGAATGCAAATAATAATATAACTATCTTTCAAATATTTTTTAAAAGTTACATTTTTAAAATATATTGAAATACTTTCTTCTTTTCATACTTCTCATTTTAAAATATTTTCTAAATTAAAATTACAACTAAGTCATTAATATTCATTACTTTTGTATTCAAAGCCATAGCATTATAATCTAATTCTTCGACCCTACATTAAATATCTAAAAGTGGAAACGCCATAGATAATGTTAATTATGCGTAATTAGTAATTACCCACACACATACGCTTACATGTATTTATAAAGGATCTCATCAGGAAAAACAGAAGAAAACTTAAAATCCAACCAAAAAATCAAATTTCCGGATATAATTATCCGCCTGCCTGCAAGCTGAAAATACCCGATTAATGCGTCGAACGAACTTCCGCTGGAAAATACGACAGTAAAGGTACGCCGGAATCGCGTCCTTCAGGGACTTACCTAACCCACCAACGAGGCAGAGAAAAACCATGATAGGGGTTTTTTTTATCTTTACTTTATCACGGGCAATCCTTACCTGATTGGCGAGTGAGACCAATAAAACATGTATGATTAACCATTTTGTATTTACAAAATTTCAATTAATTATAAATTAATTATACTCTGAACCCATTAAAATGGGAAATCAGGGTATAATGGTTTTGTTAAAAGTATGTAACAGGCAAAAGGAGGCGTGGCAGACCCCACAAAGTCCGTCTGACTGTCCATCCGTCCGTTCGTACGCGTCGATCTCAGAAGATATAAGAGCTAGAGATTTGAAATTTTTTCCTAGGTCCGTGTATATCACGCGCATATTAAGGGTTTCTCTAAAAATCGATAACTACGACCGATATTTTATTATCGATTAAAACCCTTATCAAAAACTATTTATTTTATTTTATCTCCTATACCTTTAAAGCTAGAGCTTCCAAATTTTCACTGTAGACTTCTGTGTATTTTATATAATTTCGATTTATTGTAATTTACCCTCACCCACTTGTGCTTTGGAATGTACATATATTTTAACACTATGATTAAGTTTTGAAAGATACATTAGGATTGTACGTATAGAAATTAAATTATTCCACAAATAAATTCTTATAATATTGCCCACACGGCAGCGCAGCCCAAGCGTAGTCGCGGCTTACTTCGCAGAGCGCGTTTTAATACGTATGTGTGTATGTATATGTACCTGAGAGTGATTAGAATATCAGGTTGGAGTGTTCAGGGTACCTCCTAGTCTTCTTACTTGTTTTACATTAATTTACTCAGCATTGCCATTGGCAGTGAATATGAGCTAAAGGGGATGCCTCTACAAAGCCATAGGAGCTTGCGCTTGGTTGTTGTCTTTGCTACGATCACAACTGTGCGAAAGAGAGCGAGATATTTGACTATAATATAAATCATGAGTTCATGGCGGCGCCTGAAAGTATGTACAAATTTTCGTGTGCGCTTTATTTATAGCACATCATTTGCTTTATTTTGCTGATTTTGTTTCGCTTGCTTTTGATTTAATTCTTTTTTGTTGTTTTTTGTTTGATGGGATTTGCTGTTTTTAAGGCATTGGCCACGCTTAAGTCACGTAGTATATTGATTTCAACTGCATTTATGTTGATTTCGGTGAGCAAAAGAAAAAACACATGCAAGAGAAAAACGTAACGTCTGGATGTTTTTCCTATAAGAAATGCGAGCTTGGAGCTGGGCTGAGCGGAGCTCTGTTTTGCGTGCAAAAAGAGAAGCAGCTGCTTTCCATTTTGACGATTCCAATCCTAATCCTGTCATCTAAGTGCATGTAAATGTGTGTGAGTGTGTGTGAGCGTGAGAAGCAATTTTTGGTGCACGTAAATCTCGCTCGACAATCAATTAAAATAAAATATTTTTTTTGTGTCTCGCATTGCGGCATGTCAGACGAAAAGGAAAAACAATAACAACAGCAACAGCAACATCAAAAGAAACAAAAACAATGTTGTCTACATATTTGAATTGACTTCTGATGATGTATCACGATTTATTGTTACCAAAAATGGTTGTCAAAGCGCGTGGAAAAGTGGATCAGCCGCGTCTAACGGTGCAAATCGCGGCAAAAGGCGAGCGCAAGCTGGGGGTAAAAAAAAACTCCCACAGCTATGTACGTCGCGGGCTGCCGAAATGTCTTTTGTCGTCGCTTTGCGTTACGTCGTATGCTCCTTAGACTGTGCGCCTGTTCGTCCCGCTCGTCAATTCGCCTTGTTTGCGCTATGCTTTTTGCGTGGCGCAGATGCAGCACAAGATTAAGCAGCGAAAAATGAAACTAAGCGAAATAAAACAAAGCGAAACAAGGCCGATGGATGTGCAAGCATCTGAAAAGCTGTCCCAAACCGATTCAGCGGAGCTTTATGTACTGTTATATTAATTGCTTTTGGGCAAACGCCGACAGCCAATGGGAAACGATGGCGCCAACACCTACACCAAAGTTGTCGCGCGTCTTTATGTGGCTATGCATGTTAATTAACAATACAAAAGCAGCCGCACATACATACATATACTCTGTCACACACACACACTGCCTCTGTTCACACACACGTCCGAGGCAATGTAAGCAGTTGGCCACCCAATAATATGCTCGCCAACTTGTCATTTAGCCTAGCTCCACCTTAACAAAACAAACAAACTGGTGCGCACATACACACGCACATATACTACATACACATACTCACAAATACAGACAACAGCATACAGGTATGCTGAGCTGCTCCAACGCAACATGTTGGCTGCGGCTAGTTTCATTCCAGCAGCGAACGTGGCGCTAGTCGGTCGTGTGTCGCGCTTCGTTCAACGTCGCCCCTAGGTTCGCGTCAAGTCCAACGGTACAATACGAACTCCTTTTGGTTGCCCGTCGACCGTTATAAGAGTGAGCCTCGCCTGTGTTTCAGTTTCAAGCCGTTTCTTCGTTACGTTTGCCGTTTGTCTGCTTTCGGTTGCCGGCGTTTATTGCCGTTGCTGTTTTCCGTTTGCTCTCGTTTTTTTGCATTTGCTGCGCGTGCGTGCGTGCGTGCGTGATTTAAATGGCGTTTTAAGGGAAATTAAAATGACGGATGTGCTGTAATTTGCACACACACACAGCAAACACACTCCTACATAGAAAACATATGTACATACGTACGTAGACGAGTGTCAATAAATTTTAAACACGCGGCAGTCCGTGGGGCGTAGCATGTGCCTAGCCTTTTGATTACAACTACACAGCGCGTGATTGCAACGCCCCAGCAGCAGCAGCAGCAACAACAGTTGATCGAATTAAGTGTGCATCGTGTGTGTGTTGGTGTGCTTTAGCTGTGCTGATTGCTGTTTGTTGCGCCCGTGGCTGCGTGTCCGGCAATTTAGCGGATATGCAGGAAAATGTGTAACACCCCCGCCCAGGAAGCTAGCCGGCTGCAATAAGTGCTAATAAGTGAAGCGGACCGGATGTATTTATGAATTTTGTGCGTTTGACGCCCAAACGTCGGCTCGCTCAATAAGCGCGGACAGAGGAACACCGGAATAATTGTGGAACACAAGCACACGCACACACTCTCAATACGGTCATGCGCTGCCGCCTCAATAAATATTTGCCTATGGCTTAAGCAACTCGCGCACTCGAATAGCAGCAGCCCCCTCGATCGCACGCGTCACGCACTGCAAAGCTTTTCGCTTCGTCTGCAAGTTGTTTTAGCACAATGCGGCGGCCAACGTCGCTGCCGCTGCGTTTGCTGCGTCGCCGTCTCTAAGCCCAAAGCAGAGAGAAGAATAACAAATTTTCCAAATTCATTCGCTTGGTGCGTTGCACTCTGCCTGTGCCTGTGCCTTCTCCGTCTCCGCCTCCGATTCCGCCGTTATTATTGTTGTGGCTGTGTTTGTTGTCATTGATTTGGCGGGTAGCATGCAGCAGTGGCAAACGGTAACAGCTGCTGCGACAATAGAGACTAACTCCAATAGTTGCAGCGATTATTTCAAGCACCGTCGTCGTCGTCGTCGCCAGCGTTGCAGTTGCAGTCGTAGTTCCGTAACGTGGATAGAACGTTGCCGGGCAATTATTATTTTGTAAGACGTTTTACAATTTAATGGTTTTCATGGTAAGCACCACTCGGCTCCCTAAGCCAGAGCACCAAGACCCCAATGCCATATGCCATGTGCCCCCGTTCTTGGTCAGCCCAGTTCAACACCTTCCCACACTCTCCTCCCTCTTTACTCCTTTCTTCTCGCACCTTCCTTTTCCCTGTCACAGCGCGAGTTAAGTTTTCCTTGCCTTCTCCCCGCTCTCTTTCACCATCCACGAACTTGTTTGCTCTGCCCTTTTTGGACAGCAGACACCTCTGAGTGCATCCGGAGACACACGGAGGCTGACATCTTCATGGTGATAATCGTGGCACACACATTCCGACAGACTCACGCAGACTGTTTCTCAGCTTATTATACCCTGTTTTATCTTCGCCTCTTCCTCTTTGCTTCCAGAATGGACTGGGATCCGACCCTCTGTCAGCAAAGGAGGTGAGTTTCGGTATTATAAAGAACCTTTAACTACGCTGAACTTTTATAGATTTACAGCACTCATAACAATCATCGATCATTGAATATGATAGAATCAATAACGAGTGGCTGAGATCAATAGACCAGTAAAAGTATTTACGAGTAGACCTGAAGTATTTTGGATAAATACATTTTTTCTAAACATGTCAGTCATGACCAGTGAAAGTATTTACGAGTAGACCTGAAGTATTTTGGATAAATACATTTTTTCTAAACATGTCAATCTAAAAGATTATGTGCTGATTCCTCTGCACAGTCAAACATATTGAAGCTTCCATCACAATTGACTGATAAAGAGTATTCAATTATTTTTATACCCTGAACCCATTGAAAATGGGAAATCAGGGTAAAATGGTTAAAAGTATGTAACAGGCTAAAAGTATGTAAAAGTTAAAAGTATGTAACAGGCAGAAGGAGGCGTGACAGACCCCACAAAGTATATATATTCTTGATCAGGGCGACAAGCTGAGTCGATTTG